ATGGACTCACTACTTAAGTGCCTATTCTACTCTGCTTCCATTTAGTGGTTGCATTTTGTTGCTAATTGGGCTTTGTACCCTTATTTTGGACATTTTTGGTTTTGTCCGGAGAGACTTGAGTGTTCTTTCTTTGAGCTCTAAATTCGCTGTGTCCACAGATGGGAGACAACTGTCTTTAACCTGTCAAATATGTCATGAAGATATAATGTCTGTTCTGTAGTGTGAGCACATTATAACCAATATATCTTCAGTTAATTTATGTTCAGTGTCGAGTTTTAAACTCCATTCAGAATGACTTACATTAACTTTAGTGCCAAAGTGCATTAATTAAAGATTCTACCTACAACCTGAAACTTTGTAGGGAATCAGGTTTGTTACTGGGGTGGAGGTAGATCACTTAACTCATAGTAAACGTTTGCAGTTGCCAGTTCTGTGTTAGAATAACTGGACTGTGACATCATAATTGACATCGGTTAAGGTTAAATTTGCTTTCACAGCTCTCGCTTCCCCTTTAAATTGGGCTTTTAGGTATGAGAACGTATTTACTTTACTTATCGATGCCTGTGAATTTATGTCTCAAAAAGCTACCAGAAATCATCCCAGTTTTCCTCATTTAGCCCAGTAAAAGTGGCTAGACTTAGCTTTGGAAGCTGGAGCTGTTGTGGCAGCAAATTTGATGCCACACTTGTAGTTATATTAGTACTTTTATGTTGTATAAGTATGGCTATTATCGGCTCCAATGTGTCCTGTCCATCATCTTCATACTGGGCCTCGGTGTTCATAATGTCTTCCATATCTGCATCTGATGTTTTGGAATCTGCTTGTAATAATAATAATAATAATAATAATAATAATTTTTATTTAGGCAAAGGTACATACATAAAGAGATTTTACAAAGTTTGTTGGCTTTATAGATAAGAGCTAGTACATACAATGCCTAAAGCCACTATTACGCAAAGCGTTTCGGGCAGGAAAAGACCTTAGTAAGGTTCTGTTTGTCTTTTGACTTATTCAAATTTGGCTGCAGCCACTTGGCAATATGTGTCAAGTTGTACATAGTCAAGTGGTATTTGATTAGATAAATCCTCACATCTCTTGATCGGTCTGGTCAGATGGCGTTTCAGACCTGCTAATTTTCTCTTATGTACTGCTAGAGTAGTCATTAATATTGATTAACTGGTCTGGCCGTGCTCACTTAGTTAAAATTATTGCCTTAAGACTAAGTGTGTTTGTGTATTATTGGCTTAAGACTAAGTGTGTTTGTGTATTATTGCCTTAAGACTAAGTGTGTTTGTTTGTGTATTATTGCCTTAAGACTAAGTGTGTTTGTGTATTATTGGCTTAAGACTAAGTGTGTTTGTCTGTGTTTGTATTTATTTTGATGACTAATTCAGTTTAGTTAACAGGATGTCATTACTGAAGTTCACTCCTCAATATTACACCAGAACTTTTCTCTTAACACTCTTAACAGAACTTTTCTCTTAACACTCTTAACAGAACTTTTATCTTAACACTCTTAACAGAACTTTTCTCTTAACACTCTTAACAGAACTTTTCTCTTAACACTCTTAACAGAACTTTTCTCTTAACACTCTTAACAGAACTCTTAACACAACTTTTCTCTTAACACTCTTAACAGAACTCTTAACACAACTTTTCTCAGTCATCAAAAGTGTAACATTTTGTATTAAAATGTGAAAAGGTATCCGTATGCACCAACAGTGCAGAATTTGTTCTTAATTCTAATAACACCTTCTGGTATGTCACTTTTCCCAAGCCACTTAGAAGTCAGCAGCTTAATACTACGCTAATACTACTGTAATTACTTTAGGTTCAAGTAATAAAATAGGGTTAAGAATCAATTATACAGTAATGCACACTTTACAGTTAGGAACAAATATATAAAAATTTGCACTTTACTAATGTTTATAAACAAACAAGTATTATAATGTAATATAGAAGCTGTTTTTCTGTTAATTATAAGCAGTTGCTTTTAATTTCTTATAAAGCCAACTATTGTTGTGTAGGTAACTACCAAAAGGATTTATACATTGCGATAAACAGTAGGTTTACGCTTGTAGTTTAACAGTAGGTTTACGCTTGTAGTTTAACAGTAGGTTTACGCTTGTAGGTTAAACAGTAGGTTTACGCTTGTAGTTTAACAGTAGGTTTACGCTTGTAGGTTAAACAGTAGGTTTACGCTTGTAGTTTAACAGTAGGTTTACGCTTGTAGGTTTAACAGTAGGTTTACGCTTGTAGTTTAACAGTAGGTTTACGCTTGTAGGTTTAACAGTAGGTTTACGCTTGTAGGTTTAACAGTAGGTTTACGCTTGTAGGTTTAACAGTAGGTTTACGCTTGTTGGTTTAACAGTAGGTTTACGCTTGTAGGTTAAACAGTAGGTTTACGCTTGTAGTTTAACAGTAGGTTTACGCTTGTAGTTTAACAGTAGGTTTACCTGCCCGAAACGCTTTGCGTAATAGTGGCTTTAGGCATTGTATGTACTAGCTCTATCTATAAAGCCAACAAACTTTGTAAAATCTCTTTATGTATGTACCTTTATCTAAATTAAAATTATTATTATTATTATTATTATAGGTACTTTTGTTTTTTTGTTTTTACTGAACAAGTTAGCTAAGTCACTTTAGGTGAGGCTAGGCTAGGTTTTATACTAGAGTAAGTTAGGATAGGGTTGTGAAGGGTAAGGTACACCAGAACTGGTTCAAAGCCGACCAATTTTTAATGTGGGGTATTATACTCCAGTATCTGGTTCGAAGGACCAAATGTGGGATTTTTTTTTTTAAACTTCTGACTCCCTAAAATGAGGAACTAACTAGCCACTGGGATACAGTTTTTTCTTCTTGGGGTAGTGGACTGTATCTATTCTGTGTGTTCCCTAAATGGCTCAGTTTTCAGAGTGATCCAACAGAAATGAGTCTGCTTTTCACCTGTTGAATGAAAAAAATCTCCACTTACCACGTGATAAAAAATAATAATAATAATATATATATATATATATATATATATATATATATATATATATATATCGCCTCAGTGTGGCGATACAGAGGGGAAATGCGCACTGCATCCAGGGTTCCTGCCCGCCATCTGAGGAGCTGGAGGAACTCGACAACCTATGTCAACCATCTTTGTAACCCATATGTAACTCCTTTTTTGTAACAAAGTTCAAATAAAGTAAATATATATGTGTACATACAAAAGAATGGGGGTGGTAGGAGAAGATAATATTAGTGTTCAGTGAGAAACCACAAGGTCTCCTCTGAATACTTTTTATTTTCTTCTCCGAGGCTATGGGACCCCACATTGGCACCAGAGGTGGTACCCTCACAAACTTTATAAAAAAAAATATATATATATATATATATATATATATATATATATATATATATATATATATATATATATATATATATATATATATATATATATATATATATATATATATATATATATATATATATATATATATATATATATATATATATATATATATATATATATATATATTATCACGTGGTAAGTGGAGATTTTCTTCATTCAACAGGTGAAAAGCAGACTCATTTCTGTTGGATCACTCTGAAAACTGAGCCATTTAGGGAACACACAGAATAGATACAGTCCACTACCCCAAGAGATTGGATCACTGGAAATGATCCAATCTCTAGTTACTACACCACCAATCACCTTATATTTTGTTAGGATGCAGGTACTCTGTCTTACGATACTAAGACTTTAGCCCTCTTGGAGGGCCAGAACTTGTAGTGTTGTTAATTACTGTTGTTGGAATGGTGGTGTTGACTTTGCAGGTTTTAACTTCAGGCGTTGTTTACGTTCCACTAACAATTTATATTAAGAATCACACTTATTTCTTAAAATGGAGTGTCTTGATATTAATACACATTTATGTGATAATTTACACCACTATCCAGGTCCATTGATGTTAAACGGCTGCAAATAAAGCAGCGTAAACTTTGCGGAGTATCCTGGTGTATGAGCTGGAGAAATTTGTGTGTGTGTGTGTGGGAGGGTGAGCAGCTGTGGTGATGTCTACACACTCTTCTCACTGTGGCAAGACCCTTTTATCACTTAAATAGAGTGTCCCGCTTTTTATGCACATTGTACGTGCAGTTCAGGGGCCAGATTCACGAAGCATTTACGCAAGCACTTACGAACGTGTACATCTTTCCTCAATCTTTGACGGCTTTGTTTACATTTGTTTAACAGTTTACAAGCATGAAAACTTCCCAATCAACTGTTGTTATTGTTATAAGCAGCCTCCTGGTGCTTCGAAGTTCTTTAACTGTTGATTAATTGTAAACAAAGCCACCAAAGATTGAGAAAAGATGTACAGGCTCGTAAGTGCTTGCGTAACTGCTTCGTGAATCTGACTCCTGGTCCACGGTTGGTAAATGGCAGCAATTAAGCAGCTTGAACTTCCTGGAGTATCCTTGTGGTGGATGGAGCAATGTGTCAGTTGCACACCATCTCAACACTATATAACACTATATAACACTATATAACTGGAGACTGCGATCTACCCCAAGGTGGGCATAGGTTGCCCTGCTCTTTTTAATGATCCATTTATACAAACATTAACCAAATGTATTTAGCTAAACAATTATTTATTGAGTATATGCATTTATTTGTGAGTATTACCATGATATACTTATAGCTGTTAGATGTAATTACATATCTTGATATGGATTCATTTATGGAGGCCTTCCAGGGATACATAGATCACAAAATGGTTACGATATGCTGACATGACACTCTCTCTGTCTCGAGAGAGCTTCGTTTGTTCTATAAATAGCTATGCCTGGCTTCTATAGACTTCCTTATCTATCCAAGATATAGTACTTCCATAGACTATTACTGTGATATGTTACGCTGTATTGTTGGTGGGAAATGTTCCACAATAGGTCCATTGGTATCAGGTATTTCATGGGAATTGCGTGTTGATCCGTTACTGTTTCTTGATCAGGTCGCATTAACGCGGTGATGTGTGCCCTGAACAGTCTGATGCCCATGATGGGCTACGCCGTCTACTCTCCTCTCTACTACAACACTGTCGACACCTTCCCCGCTGCCCAGTTCTTCTTTGCTGCCAGTCTCAACGTCATCATCATGGTCACTTTCATGTAAGTCATTATTGTTGTCACTGTCGAGTATGTAAACCTTTATTGTCACTGTCGAGTATGTAAACCTTTATTGTCACTGTCGAGTATGTAAACCTTTTTGTCACTTTCATGTAAGTCATTATTGTTGTCACTGTCGAGTATGTAAACCTTTTTGTCACTTTCATGTAAGTCAATATTGTTGTCACTGTCGAGTATGTAAACCTTTTTGTCACTTTCATGTAAGTCAATATTGTTGTCACTGTCGAGTATGTAAACCTTTTTGTCACTTTCATGTAAGTCAATATTGTTGTCACTGTCGAGTATGTAAACCTTTTTGTCACTTTCATGTAAGTCAATATTGTTGTCACTGTCGAGTATGTAAACCTTTTTGTCACTTTCATGTAAGTCAATATTGTTGTCACTGTCGAGTATGTAAACCTTTTTGTCACTTTCATGTAAGTCATTATTGTTGTCACTGTCGAGTATGTAAACCTTTTTGTCACGTTCGTGTAAGTCAATATTGTTGTCACGGTTGTGTAGGTCAATGTACATAGTCACTATTGTGTAAGTCAATATCCAGTGTCGCTGTTGTGTAAGTCAATATACATAGTCACTATTTTGTAAGCCAATATGCGTTGATGCTGTTGTATCAATATGTATATTGTCACTTGTGTAAGTTAATATGTATATATAGTCACTTTTTTGTAAGTCAACATTTATATAGTATATTTTTATATATTTAGTCACTTTTTTGTAAGTCTATATATATATATGTATATATATATATATATATATATATATATATATATATATATATATATATATATATATATATATATATATATATATATATATATATATATATATATATATATATATATATATATATATATATATATATATATATATATATATATATATATATATATATATATATATATATATATATATATATATATATATATATATATATATATATATATATATATATATATATATATATATATATATATATATATATATATATATATATAGTTACTTTTGTGTGTAACTCAATATGTATATAGTGACTTTTGTGAAAGTCACTATGAATATAGTCACAATATTTAGTAACATTGCCAGCAGTAAAGCTTTAAAGTAACATACTTGGGACACAACCTTAATATACACCTTCATGAGAGTCAATATCTCTGAACTTGTCAGAGCTTCTTTAGCGTTTCATTGTTTAACAAGCTGCATTCATTTACCCCATTTAGATTGTTGCAATTGATGAATCACGATACATCAGACGACACCAAGGACGTGGAGGTCGGACCCAAGAACGAAAGCATCTATGGTCTCCAAAAGAAATTTTCTGATGTCTCCGTGAAGTCAAATGGCCATGGAGAAACGAGACTCCGTCGTCACAGCACCCAGGAGCCCTCCACACCAAGCCAGCTCTCCAACCCAAGAACTAACTCCAAGGAAAACACTCCTAGCTTGAGATCCTTAACACAAACTCACAACTCTCCTTCTGAGAGACACTCACAGGCTCCAGCTGTCAGCGGGACTCGAGCAGCTACAGGAATCATTGCTGTTTGTAAACACTCTCAGTCTCCTGAGTCGTCAACAGTGTCGGCTGACAATCTCCCGGGTACAGTGGCCCGGAGGGACACGGACCGTCACGAGAACCAGGCAACCGGATGCTACTCCAGCAAGTTCAGTGATGCTGAGATCACTGCATCAGAGGGCACTGTAGAGTCTCCCTTGGATAGTAAGACTCCGAGGTACTCTAGCTAGTAAGGCTCCAAGGGACTCTTGAATAGTAAGGCTCCAAGGGACTCTTGGATAGTAAGGCTCCAAGGGACTCTTGGATAGTAAGGCTCCAAGGGACTCTAGCTGGTAAGGCTCCAAGGGACTCTTGGATAGTAAGGCTCCAAGGGACTCTAGCTGGTAAGGCTCCAAGGGACTCTTGGATAGTAAGGCTCCAAGGGACTCTAGCTGGTAAGGCTCCAAGGGACTCTTGGATAGTAAGGCTCCAAGGGACTCTTGGATAGTAAGGCTCCAAAGGGACTCTTGGATAGTAAAGCTCCAAGGAACTCTTGGATAGTAAGGCTCCAAGGGACTCTTGGATAGTAAGGCTCCAAGGGACTCTTGATAGTAAGGCTCCAAGGGACTCTTGGATAGTAAAGCTCCAAGGGACTCTTGGATAGTAAGGCTCCAAGGGACTCTAGCTAGTAAGGCTCCAAGGGACTCTTCAATAGTAAGGCTCCAAGGGACTCTTGGATAGTAAGGCTCCAAGGGACTCTTGATAGTAAGGCTCCAAGGGACTCTTGGATAGTAAGGCTCCAAGGGACTCTTGGATAGTAAGGCTCCAAGGGACTCTAGCTAGTAAGGCTCCAAGGGACACTTCAATAGTAAGGCTCCAAGGGACTCTTGGATAGTAAGGCTCCAAGGGACTCTTGGATAGTGAGGCTCCAAGGGACTCTTGGATAGTAAGGCTCCAAGGGACTCTTGATAGTAAGGCTCCAAGGGACTCTTGGATAGTAAGGCTCCAAGGGACTCTTGGATAGTAAGGCTCCAAGGTACTCTTGATAGTAAGGCTCCAAGGGACTCTTGGATAGTAAGGCTCCAAGGGACTCTTGATAGTAAGGCTCCAAGGGACTCTTGGATAGTAAGGCTTCAAGGGACTCTTGATAGTAAGGCTCCAAGGGACTCTTGATAGTAAGGCTCCAAGGGACTCTTGGATAATAAGGCTCCAAGGGACTCTTGGATAATAAAGCTCCAAGGGACTCTTGGATAGTAAGGCTCCAAGGGACTCTTGAATAGTAAGGCTCCAAGGGACTCTTGATAGTAAGGCTCCAAGGAACTCTTGATAATAAGGCTCCAAGGAACTCTTGAACAGTAAGGCCCCAAGGGACTCTTGGATAATAAGGCTCCAAGGGACTCTTGGATAGTAAGGCTCCAAGGGACTCTTGGATAGTAAGGCTCCAAGGGACTCTTGGATAATAAGGCCCCAAGGGACTCTTGGATAGTAAGGCTCCAAGGGACTCTAGCTAGTAAGACTCCAAGGGACTCTTGGATAGTAAGGCTCCAAGGGACTCTAGCTAGTAAGGCTCCAAGGGACTCTAGCTAGTAAGACTCCAAGGGACTCTTGAATAGTAGGGCTCCAAGGGACTCTTGGATAATAAGGCTCCAAGGGACTCTTGGATAATAAGGCTCCAAGGAACTCTTGTGTAAATACCTCATCCACGAATACATCAAGCAGGTCTCAAGGCGTATGTGTATAGAGCTCAAAAAGTACAAATATAATAAAACTTTGAAGTGTTGTTTTCTTGCGTCCTCAGTGAGTGTGAGTTTGTACGCAGACGAGGAGTCACACTGACTCACATCCCAGGTGCGAGTGCGTACGCAGACGAGGAATCACACTGACTCACATCCCAGGTGTGAGTGCGTACGCAGACGAGGAGTCACACTGACTCACATCCCAGGTGTGAGTGCGTACGCAGACGAGGAGTCACACTGACTCACATCCCAGGTGCGAGTGCGTACGCAGACGAGGAGTTACACTGACTCACATCCCAGGTGTGAGTGCGTACGCAGACCTGCGTGGTTTTGGAGGCGGAGGAGAGGGCGTCGGCTCTCACAACTATAGAGCGGGTAACGTGGAGTCGAATTTTCTGTATGGCTAAATCAACGTAAGTCCCAGCTGTGTCTGGGTACAAGTGACAGGATGAACAACCCAGCGGGTTTTCTTCCTATTGGGGAGTGTTGTACATGCTGCTATGGCGGTGTGTCCACTCACAGGATGAGTGGCGCTGCCCAATACTGTCACTATGGCGGTGTGTCCACCCACAGGATGAGTGGCGCTGCCCAATACTGTCACTATGGCGGTGTGTCCACCCACAGGATGAGTGGCGCTGCCCAATACTGTCACTATGGCGGTGTGTCCACCCACAGGATGAGTGGCGCTGCCCAATACTGTCACTATGGCGGTGTGTCCACCCACAGGATGAGTGGCGCTGCCCAATACTGTCACTATGGCGGTGTGTCCACCCACAGGATGAGTGGCGCTGCCCAATACTGTCACTATGGCGGTGTGTCCACCCACAGGATGAGTGGCGCTGCCCAATACTGTCACTATGGCGGTGTGTCCACCCACAGGATGAGTGGCGCTGCCCAATACTGTCACTATGGCGGTGTGTCCACTCACAGGATGAGTGACGCTGCCCAATACTGTCACTATGGCGGTGTGTCCACCCACAGGATGAGTGGCGCTGCCCAATACTGTCACTATGGCGGTGTGTCCACTCACAGGATGAGTGGCGCTGCCCAATACTGTCACTATGGCGGTGTGTCCACTCACAGGATTAGTGGCGCTACCCAATACTGTCACTATGGTGGTGTGTTCACTCACAGGATGAGTGACGCTGCCCAATACTGTCACTCACAGGATGAGTGGCGCTGCCCAATACTGTTTACTGTGGCGGTGTGTCCACTCACAGGATGAGTGGCGCTGCCCAATACTGTCACAATGGCAGTGTGTCCACCCACAGGATGAGTGACGCTGCCCAATATTGTCACTATGGCGGTGTGTCCACTCACAGGATGAGTGGCGCTGGCTATGGCGGTGTGTCCACTCACAGGATGAGTGGCGCTGCCCAATACTGTTTACTGTGGCGGTGTGTCCACTCACAGGATGAGTGGCGCTGCCCAATACTGTCACAATGGCAGTGTGTCCACCCACAGGATGAGTGACGCTGCCCAATATTGTCACTATGGCGGTGTGTCCACTCACAGGATGAGTGGCGCTGCCCAATACTGTCACTATGGCGGTGTGTCCACTCACAGGATGAGTGGCGCTGCCCAATACTGTCACTATGGCGGTGTGTCCACTCACAGGATGAGTGGCGCTGCCCAATTCTGTCACTATGGCGGTGTGTCCACTCACAGGATGAGTGGCGCTACCCAATACTGTCACTATGGTGGTGTGTTCACTCACAGGATGAGTGGCGCTGCCCAATACTGTCACTATGGCGGTGTGTCCACTCACAGGATGAGTGGCGCTGCCCAATACTGTCACTATGGCGGTGTGTCCACTCACAGGATGAGTGGCGCTGCCCAATACTGTCACTATGGCGGTGTGTCCACTCACAGGATGAGTGACGCTGCCCAATACTGTCACTATGGCGGTGTGTCCACTCACAGGATGAGTGACGCTGCCCAATACTGTCACTATGGCGGTGTGTCCACTCACAGGATGAGTGGTGCTGCCCAATACTGTCACTATGGCGGTGTGTCCACTCACAGGATGAGTGACGCTGCCCAATACTGTTTACTGTGGCGGTGTGTCCACTCACAGGATGAGTGACGCTGCCCAATACTGTCACTATGGCGGTGTGTCCACTCACAGGATGAGTGGCGCTGCCCAATACTGTCACTATGGCAGTGTGTCCACCCACAGGATGAGTGACGCTGCCCAATATTTTCACTATGGCGGTGTGTCCACTCACAGGATGAGTGGCGCTGCCCAATACTGTCACTATGGCGGTGTGTTCACTCACAGGATGAGTGACGCTGCCCAATACTGTCACTATGGCGGTGTGTCCACTCACAGGATGAGTGGCGCTGCCCAATACTGTCACTATGGCGGTGTGTCCACTCACAGGATGAGTGACGCTGCCCAATACTGTCACTATGGCGGTGTGTCCACCCACAGGATGAGTGGCGCTGCCCAATACTGTCACTATGGCGGTGTGTTCACTCACAGGATGAGTGACGCTGCCCAATACTGTCACTATGGCAGTGTGTCCACTCACAGGATGAGTGACGCTGCCCAATACTGTCACTATGGCGGTGTGTCCACTCACAGGATGAGTGACGCTGCCCAATACTGTCACTATGGCGGTGTGTCCACTCACAGGATGAGTGGCGCTGCCCAATACTGTCACTATGGCAGTGTGTCCACCCACAGGATGAGTGACGCTGCCCAATATTGTCACTATGGCGGTGTGTCCACTCACAGGATGAGTGGCGCTGCCCAATACTGTCACTATGGCGGTGTGTCCACCCACAGGATGAGTGGCGCTGCCCAATACTGTCACTATGGCGGTGTGTCCACTCACAGGATGAGTGGCGCTGCCCAATACTGTCACTATGGCGGTGTGTCCACTCACAGGATGAGTGACGCTGCCCAATACTGTCACTATGGCGGTGTGTCCACTCACAGGATGAGTGACGCTGCCCAATACTGTCACTATGGCGGTGTGTCCACTCACAGGATGAGTGACGCTCCCCAATACTGTCACTATGGCAGTGTGTCCACCCACAGGATGAGTGACGCTGCCCAATATTGTCACTATGGCGGTGTGTCCACTCACAGGATGAGTGGCGCTGCCCAATACTGTCACTATGACGGTGTGTCCACTCACAGGATGAGTGGCGCTGCCCAATACTGTCACTATGGCGGTGTGTCCACTCACAGCATGAGTGGCGCTGCCCAATACTGTCACTATGGCAGTGTGTCCACCCACAGGATGAGTGACGCTGCCCAATACTGTCACTATGGCGGTGTGTCCACTCACAGGATGAGTGGCGCTGCCCAATACTGATCGAGGGCGGGACTCTCAGGGCCACAGTCTACCCATCTCCGACTTGTTGCTAGGCGTGCGACTGGAACTGTTGGAGATTGGGCACCAACAATGTTCTAATAATAATAATAATAATAATAATAATAATAATTTTTATTTAGGTAAAGGTACATACATAAAGAGATTTTACAAAGTTTGTTGGCTTTATAGATAGAGCTAGTACATACAATGCCTAAAGCCACTAATCTATGTAGATGTGCACTTGCACTTGGGTTTGCAAGAACAATCGTTCTGAAAGTGTTAATCACATAACCGGCCCGTGTAACCGGTTCAGGCAACCGGATAAACCATTATGCAAGTTGGGATTAACATTTGACTTTTGTAAATATCTGATGATTTTTTTGAAGTTACTTTAAAAGAATAAATGTAGACATTAATCACTAGATTTCTTAATTCCAGATCGTGATTAACTGGAAGGCACTTTCCAAGTGACATTGGAATACTTGTTAAGTCGAAGATAACCTCTTGGGCTGGATGGTAGAGCGGTCTCGCTTCATGCAGGTCCACGTTCAATCCCCGACAATCCAAGTGGTTGGACATCATTCCTTTTCCCTCGGCCCATCCCAAATTCTTATCCTGACCTCCATCCCAGTGCTATACAGTTGTAATGGCTTGGCGCTTCCTCCTGATAATTATTACATTACCCTCCACTACCAAGATCTGTATAAGTAAGATAATGTCTCTGAAATCCGTCATAGTAAATATGTAGAAAACTGCAAGAAGTACGAGGTAGGGATTTAGACAGACATCTTGAAACTCTGATTTTGAAGCACAAAAGATCAGACATTAAATTAGGAAAACTCTGTCGTTATCAAACAAGAATGAACAGTCTCATTCAGTAGACTGGTATAATCAAACTCTGGTATATCCCCAAAAAATCTAACTTTAAAAAGACAAATGGCAGAGCCTCACACACACACACATATGTGAAGCTTCAATATCAACCCTTCCTCGGACCAAGTCCATTCTATCCAACAGTCGACCCCACAGACACATTCATCAATTTTTACATTCTGCTCATTCAAAACAGAACTTTTCTCAAATATAAATTAATTTTACGATATATTAGCATATTGCGCATATTTAGGCATTGGTTAGGTTAGGTGTTTAGGTTCTGTTGGCGATTATTTGTATATGTAGTACGTGGCTGAAGCATTTACAGCGTTGTGGTTCGAACACAAGTCGTCAGTGTTGTCAATATATCCCAGATGAGGGGACCTTCCTCGCTCTTGCCAGCAGTCAAACTAAACGACGATTTGACCTTTGGCTGCCAATGGTCAAATTTACGCTTGTACTAATATCATAGATCATACGAAGGCCTTCGACCTCGTCAGCAGGGATGGCCTGTTCAAGGTCCTCCTCAAGATGGCCACCCAGGCTCCTCAGCATCACCAGATCTTTCCGGCAGACCATGAAGGGCGCCGTGGTGTTGACGACTCAGGATCAGACGCCTTCGACATCCAAAGCGGAGTAAAGCAGGGCCGAGCCCAGGATCCTACGCTATTCGGGGTTGTCTTCGCAGTTATGCTGCAGCACGACTTCGGATCTGACACAGAAGGCATCTACCTCCGGACCAGGTCGGATGGGAGCTCTTCAACCTCGCCTGGATAAGAGCCAAGACAAAGGTTCAGCTGAGGTGTCTGCGCGACATCCTTTTTTGCTGATGATGCAGCAGTCACCGCCCACTTAACTGAAGACCTCCAACAGCTCACAACCTGCTTCAGCGAGGCCTGTTAGGCCTTTGGACTCACCATCAGCATGAAGAAAACATAGGTCATGGGACAAGGAGTGGACTCCCCACCTGACATCCGCATCTCTGATTACAAACTGGAAATCGTCCACGACATTGTGTATCTGAGCTCCACAACCTCTGTCTCCCTCTCTCTCGACACGGAGCTAAACAACTTCATCGGTAAGGCATCTACACCCATGTCCAGACTGACAAAGAGACTGTGGGCCAACACTAAGCTGAGTATACAAAGGTCCTGAGCACTCTCCTTTATGGCAGTGAGTCTTGGACACTCCGCGCCCGTCAGGAAAGACAGCTGAACGCCTACCACTTGAGCTGCCTCCGACACATCTTGGACATCACCCGGCAGGACTAGGTTACAAACAACAGCGTCCTGGGGAGAGCTAGGATCACCAGCATGTACACAATGCTGAAGCAGACTCGGCTCGGGCACGTGGTGCGAAAGACGACGGCAGAATCCCCAAGGATCTCCTGTACGGAGAGCTGACAAAGGGAAAACGTCCAACGGGCAAACCCCAGCTACGATACAAAGACGTATTCAAAAGGGACCTAAAAGCCATGGACATCGACCTTGCCACGTGGGAAACACTGGCCGCAGACCAATCATCCTGGAGGCAGTCTGTTCAGAAAGGTCTCTCCAAGTTCAAGGAGACACTCGCCAAGCAATCGGAGACAAAAATACAGAGTATAAGTATAGCTGTCACACACCTGTGACAGGTAAAAACATGGGGTGAGATTCACGAGGCAATTACACAAGTACTTACGAACGTATACATCTTTTCTCAAAATTTGACGGCTTTGGTTACATTTATTAAACAGTTTACAAGCATAAAAACTTCCCAATCAACTGTTGTTTTTGTTTTAAACAACCTCTTGGTGCTTCGGAGCTCATTAACTGTTTAATAATTCTAAACAAAGCCGCCAAACATTGAAAAAAGATGTACAGGTTTGTAAGTGATTGCGTAACTGCTTCGTGAATCTGGCCCTTGCTTTATTAAAAAAAAACAGCGCCATCTGTTGCACGTAAGAACATCAAACGCTATACTAAATATGTGACTATTCCATTTCAATGTTTCCGATTTCATTGATAAATTGAATTTTCTTAGATTTCGACTTATTTTCATTTTGATTTAATTATTTTGTGTGACATTGTGTTGTAATTGAGCTGTGTTGTTTACCATACCGTTCATTTTGTGAGTATATTTTATTTTTGTATTTTTTCATTGCTTTCATTTCGTTTTTTTACTGTTTTTCTTATATATCAGTGATGGGAACATCAGACCATTTGATGTTACCAATTTTCTGATGGGAACATCAGATCATTTAGGAATGCATCGGACGAGGGAGTGGGGAATGGTGGGGAGGACGAGGGGACGGGAGTAGGGGACGGTGGAGAGGACGAGGGGACAGGAGTGAGGGATGGTGGGGAGGACGAGGGGACGGGGGAGTGAGGGATGGTGGGGTGGACGAGGGGACGGGGGAGTGAGGGATGGTGGGGTGGACGAGGGGACGGGGGAGTGAGGGATGGTGGGGTGGACGAGGGGACGGGGGAGTGAGGGATGGTGGGGAGGACGAGGGGACGGGGGAGTTAGGGATGGTGGGGTGGACGAGGGGACGGGGGAGTGAGGGATGGTGGGGAGGACGAGGGGACGGGGGAGTGAGGGATGGTGGGGAGGACGAGGGGACGGGGGAGGTGGGGATGGTGGGAATGAGGGGACAGGGGGATGGAGAATGGTAGAAAGAAAAGGGCAACAGAGGAGTGAGGGATGGTGAGGAGGTCGACGGGATGGGGGAAATGAGGAATGGTTGGGAGGATGAGGGTGCGGTGGAGGGGGGAGGGGAAAATGGTGGGGAGGACGAGGGGACGGGAAGGTTGCTGTGGCTCAGCAATGCTCCACAGCAACGCGTGGCCGGGTACAGCTAGTCTATATAAATAACATTGTAATTGTTCGTTTGTTCAAAATCGCTAATCTCCGAAAGTTCTTTGCCGATTGCTTTGAAATTTTCACACAATGTTCCATGCGCATCCGAGTTTTTTTTTACATATATACAAACTATATAGATGCCACGTCTGAGACAGGAAAAAAAAAAAAAAAACGGGAATTTTTTTTGTTTAAAAACTGGGTTTTTCACGCGAGGGGAAATCTACGAAACCTCTACCGATTGGAAAAACAGGACAATAGAAAAGAAATACACTAGGTTTTAATTCAGACGTTACAGTGGTCTTAAACAATAAGCAAATTAATGAGCAGAAATTACACAAGAAGTGTCAAAAATCAATAACATCCCAAGAATTTAAACATTTAAATAAGATTGAGCAAGAAACTTGTAAACAACTAATTAGCGTTGCAAATAAAAGATTGAATTGTTCACCTCTGGGCTCCTTCCGTTAGTATGAATACCATAGAAAATGGTAAGATCATGTCTGAAGGGACAAAAAGTCTTAATAGTGACGTTACTTTGAGCGAAAGATTGATTCATGGCTCAGAAACCACAGAGGCTGGACCTTAAGCCTTAAGGAACCATGACACGTTCGATCCTCTGGTGGTCTGTTAGGTAAGACTCATCTTATGTCTCATGACTCATGAGACACAGAGACTCATCTTGTCTCTGTGAGCACAAACACGATATCTAAAGTGTTATATTTTCCCAGAGTTTGCAGACGATGAGTCACGAAGGCGAGGCTTAAGATATAATGACCAAACCTCACATATGAAGATGAGACGACGTACGACGATTCGGTCCGTCGTGGCCCATCATCAAGTCAAGAGACGACTTGATAATGATCCACGACGGACCGAAACGTCGTCGCGTCTCCATCTTCTGAGTTGTGGTTTGGTCACCAGTCTTAAAGAATGAAACATAACTCCTAGGACAAATGTTAGCAAATGACCTGTTCAACGTTGAAAATTAAAAACGTTGATCACACGTTAACTAACGTTGATCAAACACTACAAACGTTAGCAAATGTTAATTAAATTTTCCATAACCGTTGTCAACCCTGACGTGCCCAGGGCATTGGCCACACAGGATCGCAGATCACAGGGTACTGGACCTCTCAAGTATTAAACAGGACCCACAAATGTTGTTATGGGTAATCATAGGACTTCCTCTATGGGTCACGGGAGACATCTCCCGTCACGCAGGGTGCAGACGCACCTCCACAGATCTCCAGTATCAGCTAATGGTACTGGTAATGGCTCAAAAGGGCCACCACTTACGGGCTATTCATGCCCGTGCTACCTTTTGGGTGGCTTAATCTTCATCAATCAATCAATCTCTATGGGTAATATGTCTCTGAGTGTTCTGTGTTTCACTCAGCTATTATGGCTTGTAGTGCCACAAAGGAAATTTGATGAAATGAATCGCTTTAATAATTAAAAATGTTAACAGCGAGTAAAAGTTTGGCATTGTAACAAATTTCCTATCTCTAGGAGACATATATATTCCTATATCTCGCTATCTCTGTTTATATGTCACTCTATCTATCTATCTCTATTTATATATCCATCTCTATTTATCTATCTATCTATAACTTTATATCTCTGTATGTTTTCCGATCTATCTATCTATTCCCCTCCACCTTTCCCTTATGTTTACAACTTTTCACCCTGTCTTCAGTCCCCTCATCATCATCGGCGATGGTCTTCCCCTCTTTGTGTTGAAACTTTTCCTCCCCTTACCCTCTCTTCGCCCCTTTTCCACTTCTCACAAAAATATTATTGTAAAGAGCACTGAAACAACTGTATGGATATCGTGGATATTATCATGATTACTAAAACTCTATGGAAATCACACAGTGTATTTCAGCCTTGATTCCTTGAAAATCTTTTTTTTTTTTTTTTCATGGAGTCAAGTTTGAAAGGGAGGAGGGGAGGGGTATCTATAATTGCTAATATTTCTTAAAGCGTTTAGATCGGGCCTACCCCGACCAGCCTATGTCCGTTCCGTACCCAAGACTCTTCCCCCTGCAAATTTGGATGACGCCAAACGTCTGACCTCGAACTTTGGCCACACAAACAGACAGACACATTCGCTCTCTCTCTCTTATATGTATAGATGCAAGCGTTCATTAAACCTCACAAAGGTACAATATTTACATTTGGAATATTTCAATAAAATAATGAGATATGTTTAAGATATATTTAATAATGTCGGCCTCACAGAGGCCAGCTTAGTGTAGGTGTTAGTGGGCGAGGTATTTATGATGAGTTATTGGTCCTTGAGGCCTCGTTATCCAAGGTGGTCTCTACTAGTGGTCTCTGACTCAGTGATCTGATCGTCACTCATCCTGTTGGTGTAGCAGCCAGTGGTCTCTGACTCAGTGACCTGATCGTCACTCATCCTGCTGGTGTAGCATCCAGTGGTCTCTGACTCAGTGATCTGATCGTCACTCATCCTGTTGGTGTAGCAGCCAGTGGTCTCTGACTCAGTGACCTGATCGTCACTCATCCTGTTGGTGTAGCAGCCAGTGGTCTCTGACTCAGTGATCTGATCGTCACTCATCCTGTTGGTGTAGCATCCAGTGGTCTCTGACTCAGTGACCTGATCGTCACTCATCCTGTTGGTGTAGCATCCAGTGGTCTCTGACTCAGTGACCTGATCGTCACTCATCCTGCTGGTGTAGCAGCCAGTGGTCTCTAACACAGTGATCTGATCGTCACTCATTCTGCTGGCGTAGCAGCCAGTGGTCTCTGACTCAGTGATCTGATCGTCACTCATTCTGTTGGTGTAGCAGCCAGTGGTCTCTAACGCAGTGACCTGATCGTCACTCATCCTGCTGGCGTAGCAGCCAGTGGTCTCTAACACAGTGATCTGATCGTCACTCATCCTGCTGGTGTAGCATCCAGTGGTCTCTGACTCAGTGACCTGATCGTCACTCATCCTGCTGGTGTAGCAGCCAGTGGTCTCTAACGCAGTGATCTGATCGTCACTCATCCTGCTGGTGTAGCATCCAGTGGTCTCTGACTCAGTGACCTGATCGTCACTCATCCTGCTGGTGTAGCAGCCAGTGGTCTCTAACGCAGTGACCTGATCGTCACTCATCCTGCTGGCGTAGCAGCCAGTGGTCTCTGACTCAGTGATCTGATCGTAACTCATCCTGCTGGCGTAGCAGCCAGTGGTCTCTGACGCAGTGATCTGATCGTCACTCAACCTGCTGGCGTAGCAGCCAGTGGTCTCTGACTCAGTGATCTGATCGTCACTCATCCTGTTGGTGTAGCATCCAGTGGTCTCTGACTCAGTGACCTGATCGTCACTCATCCTGCTGGTGTAGCAGCCAGTGGTCTCTAACGCAGTGACCTGATCGTCACTCATCCTGCTGGCGTAGCAGCCAGTGGTCTCTGTCGCAGTGATCTGATAGTCACTCATCCTGCTGGTGTAGCAGCCAGTGGTCTCTGACGCAGTGATCTGATCGTCACTGATCCTGCTGGCGTAGCAGTGAGTGGTCTCTGACGCAGTGATCTGATAGTCACTCATCCTGCTGGTGTAGCAGCCAGTGGTCTCTGACGCAGTGATCTGATCGTCACTCATCCTGCTGGCGTAGCAGTGAGTGGCCTCTGACGCAGCGATCTGATAGTCACTCATCCTGCTGGCACAGCATCCGGTTCTCTGATGTTCCATCCCAGCCTCCAGGCTCCTCGGCCTCTTGGCTCTCACAGTAGCCGGACTGTTCTGGTCTGAAGCAAAAGTTGAGTTAAGATTCTGGCAATGTTTGCCTAGAACACTGACTCCTGTTGCCCCTGAGGTCAAGCTTACAGTAGCAGTTTTTTTGTAAAGATTCCTCAGAAGTTTTTGGTTCTGCCTTGAGGTAAGGAACTCAATCTTGAAAGTTTTCCTTTCGGCTTTCGCTTCATACCAGTCGACTGGTCAGTTAGGGGCAAATCTATTTTTTTTGGGGTGACGCGAACTCTTGCCGGACCGCTGAGCGTTCGAGTAACAGCCTTTTGGATGCCTGAAAACTGCTTGGTGGTCGACGTATCCTGTGATTTTGGTGAATCACCTTCATTTCCAGATCTACTTAGAGTTCGGGCGAGGGATTTAATGGCGCCAGAGAGCTGGCTGGGAGCCGAAGAGTCGTGGCGTTTTTGGGTGACGCGAACTCCTCCGGGACCGCTGAGAGTCCGAGCGATGGACTTGAGGGTGACAGCTGACCGTTGCTTCAGGAAGCCATAGATGCCTTCGTCAGTAGTCTTGGCTCCCGCCTCCAGGTCAGTAGCGCTATATGATGATGACTGAGATATCACTTGCAACAGTCTGAATGTGGAGAGAAACACAAGCTTTATATAAACATCATAACTCCTCCTACATTGTATAAACACCATAACTCCTCCTACATTATAAAGACCATAACTCCTCCTACAATATATAAACACAACACCACCTAATATATAAACCCAATGCCACCTACAATATAAACACAACACCAAATATAATATATAAACTCAATAACTACAAAATTATGGAAAAGTTTTAACTTTGAAAATAATTTAATTAGATCAAAGTGTTCAAAGACTATTTAATTATGAGAAAATCAAACTGAAAGATGACTATGGAAATCGCCTCAAATAGTTGACTACAATGCAAGTGACAATAAAGATCGACTTAGACACAAATAACGTCGATAGTGACTTACTCGACAGTGACAACAATATTGACTTACATGAAAGTGACAAAAAGGTTTACATATTCGACAGTGACAACAATATTGACTTACATGAAAGTGACAAAAAGGTTTACATACTCGACAGTGACAACAATATTGACTTCCATGAAAGTGACAAAAAGGTTTACATACTCGACAGTGACAACAATATTGACTTCCATGAAAGTGACAAAAAGGTTTACATACTCGACAGTGACAACAATATTGACTTACATGAAAGTGACAAAAAGGTTTACATACTCGACAGTGACAACAATATTGACTTACATGAAAGTGACAAAAAGGTTTACATACTCGACAGTGACAACAATATTGACTTACATGAAAGTGACAAAAAGGTTTACATACTCGACAGTGACAACAATATTGACTTACATGAAAGTGACAAAAAGGTTTACATACTCGACAGTGACAAAAAGGTTTACATACTCGACCGTGACAAAGGTTTACATACTCGACAGTGACAAAAAGGTTTACATACTCGACAGTGACAATAAAGGTTTACATACTCGACAGTGACAATAAAGGTTTATATACTCGACAGTGACAATAAAGGTTTACATACTCGGCAGTGACAATAAAGGTTTACATACTCGACAGTGACAATAAAGGTTTACATACTCGACAGTGACAACAATAATGACTTACATGAAAGTGACCATGATGATGACGTTGAGACTGGCAGCAAAGAAGAACTGGGCAGCGGGGAAGGTGTCGACAGTGTTGTAGTAGAGAGGAGAGTAGACGGCGTAGCCCATCATGGGCATCAGACCGTTGAGGGCCGCCATCACCGCGTTGATGCGACCTGATCAACATCAATCATCAATCACCAGTTGTGATGTAAAATGGATAAAAATGATGACCCTAAATAAATGCATATATAAACTGACTACATCTGTAGCAGAGTAGTCTACGTCCACGACAAACAATGGAGTGGACCGGGATCTATCCCACGACACGGTCGCAACAGATTGCTATATTTCCTTCCACCTCATGCTTATGTTCACCTAACAGATAAATGCGTAAAGAAGAGTTAGTCAACTGTCGTGGGTTGCATCTTGGAGAACGTCAGTAGTAAGAGTTTGATAAGCCTGAACACAGGCTTTACTGTTCCTGAGAACATGAATTAAAACTCCCCGGCAAGAGTTATGTTTACCATATAAATGTTGATATAATATGTAAATAAACATTAATAAAGTAATTTACTAAGAAGTATATTTATACATGGATGTTACTGGCACATATAAATAGACTGTAAGGCGGGCAAGTGTGGCGGAGTAATACACGGAAGAAGGCAGGTCAGTTGCCTCACCTTTCTCCTTGCTGCCGACCAGTTTGGTGGACATGGACTTGAAGGAGATGACCATTGCATTAGAGATAAGACCAGCCGGGGGCCCCAGCCACATGAGGAAGGCTTGAGGGGGCCCGCTGACCAGCCCATAACACACGTACTCTCCGATCATAGACAGCGTCCCCACCACCACCAGGGAAGCGTCAGTGAACGACAGCAGCCGCGTCAGGAACGGCACCAGGAACAGCGAACCTGGAGGTGGCCCGAACCTCAGGTTAGATAAGGAACAGCAGGTATGTGAATGATAAGGAACCTTATCATTCACTTATCTCTAACTTGACACAATTATATA